GGTGTGGTGACCAGAACTGTACACCGTACTCCAAATGAGGACGTACCATTGATTTATATAGGGGCATTATGATACTGGCTGATTTGTTTTCAGTTCCCTTCCTAATAATCCCCAGCATACCGTTGGCCTTTTTTATTGCAGTTGTACACTGTCTCGACATTTTCAGTGAGTTTTCTACTACGACTCCAAGATCTCTCTCTTGGTCAGTCTCTGCCAGTTCGGACCCCATCAATGTGTATTTATAGTTAGGATATTTGGCTCCAATGTGCATCACTTTGTACTTGGCCACACTGAACCCCATTTGCCATGTTGACGCCCACTTGCCCATCCTCGACAGATCCCTTTGGAGTGCCTCACAATCCTCCCGGGTTCTCACCACCCTGAACAACTTTGTGTCATCTGCAAATGTAGCCACTTCACTGCTTACTCCCAACTCCAAATAATTAATAAACGAGTTAGAAAGCATCGGACCCAGTACTGATCCCTGTGGTAGCCCACTGCTTGGGAATCCAGGCCCCCAAACCTCTGTCAATATATTTCATCATTTCAAATGTCTACTAAATTAAACAAGGAGTGACAGACACGTTCAAAGAACTCAGAGGCTTCCAAAGACACTTGCCTGAAAACTCATCTTTATCTTTAACAAATAAAAAAAATTAAAAACCTCCTGCATTTCACAGCCAATTCATCATCCGCTCCTCCTTAAGCCAAATTTGGATTCTAGTAGCAGCAAATGCCAGACATCAAAAAAAAACCCTCTTCCGACAGAAAGTAAGAAAATGGATTCCGTAAGTGTGTGACTGGGAGGGGTGGTGGGTGAAACGCAGGCTGTGGATGCTGAGAAGAAGGGAGCTGGAACTAGTGTATGAAGCGGTCTGTGAGTCTGTTGCCGGCCACCTGTGCCGCCAACGGAGCAAAAGAAAGCCACCCACAAGAGGTTTTTGCATAGTGGGAAGTCAAAACAGCACGCTGTTTTATTTCCTGCAGATCTGACCCTGTGCTAGGCTAGGCCCGTTGTATAACTCCAGGGAGTCCACACCAAGCACTGCCCTCCTGTAATCTCGTTCGAGGATTTTTCGAGACACACTGAATCATGAAAACGGGGCTTTGTCAGAGCGTTCACACGGCTTGACCTGCACTCGGATCAGCTCCCGCTGATTTTTGCAACTCTTCGGAGGCAACAAACAATCTTAACCAAGGAGGCAAGATTGGAAGGATCCCTTCAGGCCTGAACGGGAAAAGGGCACAGATTCCAGCCCAGACAGGAGGACCGCTCACAGCCTCTGGGGCTGCGTCTGGCCCCCGGGAGGGAGCGTTCCAGGCAGCCTTCAAGCTGCTTAATTTCTCGGCTCATCTGTCTCCCAGACTGCAGCGTGGGCCAGAAAAAAATCTGTGGAACAGCTCAAGGGCCAGCGAGCGCCATTCCAAGGGGGTCACACATCTGGGACTCATCCAAGTACCCGGAGTCCTCGAAAGCCGGTAGAGACCCAGTTGTGGGCCTCAGCCTGAAACACCTGCCCCCCTCCGCCCGGGAAGATCGGTGCCTTTGGCGCAGCATTTCTCCGATGTGCAGGCACTGAGAGGACGGAGGGCCGAGGCATTCCTCCTTCAGAGGAACACGTTCTGGCAGGATGGCAGTTTGGGTGCTAAGAGAAGTTGGGGCTGCTATGCCCCAGGACCCTTGGGAGGGGAGTCCCAGCGAGGCGGTCTCGTCCCGAGATAAGCCTCCTCTCAAAAGACGACCTTTCCGGGACCAGCTGGTGCGGCTCTCAGGAAGCCATGCTGCCCTTTGGGTGCAGAAAACTGGGGTGTGACCATAACGGTTTGGTGATCCGGCCCTGTGCTCAGAGCTCTCAAAACAGATCAAAACA